TTTAAAGGCAAAGTATGGTACGGTAACAGAGTTTACAAAAGATTTATGCTCACACACAAGTTATTTTTAAACTTTTTAATGTTGTAGAATTACGAAAATGACTATTTATGGCTTTTATGAATAAAATAAATAAAATATTACCAAAGGAAAAGTATCAAAATATTTTGATTACACAATGATACATGTTGGAAAAAATACACGGACTAATTCGGACGGAATCAGTGTTTGCCCACTAGAATACAGCAATGATCAGACAGAAAGATCAATACACATATTAGACATGTGCCGGTATTCGGTAATGCGTTATATCACGATAATGAATATGCACGATATTGTTATCGTGGGCACTTCAAAATACCGAGAATAATATTGAAGTAAGTGTGCATCATTGATCATTGTTCTTGCTAAAAAAAATGATCATAACATAAGATCTGCAGTTTAGTTTAAATATGAATTACTATAGCACTCCTCGCTGTCATTAATAGCATGCCACAGGAAAAGTGATCAAGCGCATCCACTACAAATATGTCTAAATTCATATAATTTTAGTTTAACTTTAGCGTACTGACTTTATGTAGGCTAATTTCAGTGCTCATCTCCATTAATGAGAGTGGAATATTTAACGTAAATGTGTATATCGAAATGAAAACGGAGTTTAAAATCCTTGTTTACTTCATTACTTTTCTCACTCCAGGAAAAGAGTGCGTATGCACAGTCAAGAGCATCCGTACGGTGCGCACATATTTAAGCCAAGTTTATTTTTATAAATCCAGATACGTGCGTGGAAAACGTTTATATACATGAGGCCCCTGTTCTCCTTCCCTGCGGTGCAGCGTTAGCTTTTCTGGCTAAAGGTTGCAGGCTTGCCTTCTAGTGGCTTTGGTGGCCCTCTAATATGAGCAGAATTAGACACCTGTGCTTATGGTTTAGGTGTCTGATCCACCCTGAGAAGTGAGAACTGTTTGTCTTGATTGCATTTATTTCACAGCAGCCGCCTATATCTACAATCAAGGTAAGATTGTCTCAAAACAATCCTAATAATATTACTTGAAAGTCAATACATCACATCTAAACACATTCATACCATATAGAATACATAGGTTTGTGCATCGGTGATGGTGACTGAATGCAACTATGGAGACTTAGTTGTCTTAAAGAGTTGATAAATGACAATAACATCCACTGCTTTTCATTATGTAAATAAGACAACTCTATATTGTGATTCAACATTTATATTTACTACAGACACTTTAACTTAGAAAAATAGTTAGAGACTAACCATGCTGCTGACCACTGGAGTGCAAATAAAACAGTGTGTGAAATGAGAAGATGCCGTCTCAAAAATAAACAGTTCTTCTGTTTGTATTCCACAAAGCTCTTAGTTTGTCTTTACCTCTCGCTAAGATTATTTTAGCTCATTGTTGAATTCAAACTGTTGCTACAGCGATAGATGCATTTCCCTCTGTTTCGCTTTGAGTGGCACACATTTAACAATACAGGAAGTTTAATATAATAAGTTGCATATACAGCAATAACTTCATTAACATGCTCTTTTAGCACGATTTGTATTTTTCCCTAAGGCTAAAACTTTTAATTAAATGTTAATACTTTTAGTGGAATATCTGGTTATTGTCTTGAATTCAACAATTGAATAATTTAGGTTTTACTGTGTTTTCTGGAACCAATTCAGTCAGATAATGATTCACTACAAACTCTAGATAGATTCCTGCTATCTGGTCAGATTCTGGTTAACAAAACTTTATACCATCAATAAATATCAGTCTGTGCAATAAAGAAGAACAACTAAGAGAATTTTTGCTTCACCGATATTTTATTGTTGTTGCATCTCAAATGCATTGAGTTGCTGTTTTAGCCTCTCAGCAGCATTTGGTAACAACAGAGCAGCCGTTACACAACAGATTTCAGAACTTAATGAGATTAAAAAAAAAAAAATCTTGTCACATGCATGTGTATATTTAATTAGAATTTGTAAAACAAACAGCAGTTACCAACTAAATAGAATACAGTAATGATCAGACAGAAATATCAAATACACAGATACATTACTGTATATATATTCAGCTAGGTTTATTTAGCATATAGAAATAGGCCTACTAAAGAAAACCAACAATCAAGTGTATAACTAAAACACTGCATATATTATCAAATATGAATTAATTCTTATAAAAGATCCAAAAGAGATTCAGTCAAGAGCAGTGAGTGATTTTCTTCTTGCCTTTTGTTGTTTGATTAACATTAATGACACAGACATAGGCAAGTAAATTACACGCTTCGGCTGTGTGTCAGCATTGAGCTTGCTGCCTTATAATACTATTTAACATCTAGCACATCCCACTCTTTATTTTCTCATTCATGCATGTTTCTTTATCACTCTTAGGTCACGTGTATATAACCTGTTAGTGCTGCTGTATGGATGTATTTGCTTACCGTGAAATACATATAGCAAAATCTCTAACAATAGACGTACCGTGGTACCGATATATACCGTTACCAAGCCCTAATATGAACATTTATTCAAATAATTTACAAATGAGAATAATACAAATAGTAGTGAATAATAATCCAAGGCACAACACAATGTAGTATCACACCACATTTCTTTAAATACAGAGCTGGGTAAAAGTGCAAACAATCTTTTTCTATGCATGTAAGGCGAGTTTATCAGCATAAATACAAATACACAGGTGCTTTAGATAAATTGTTCTTAATCCTGGTCCTGGGGACCCACCACTTTGCACATTTTGTGTATCTCCCTTATTTAACACCTGATTCGGATCATCAGCTCATTAGGTAAGAGCTCCACGAACTGAACTATGCTACCTTCACGTGCGATCGGAATTATCGTAAATACGTTTCCTACGGCCTCTCAGCCTCTCTAGTCATATATACAACTGGGAAACTCGGAGATAATTTTTGCTGCCTTCACGTGCTATCGGAAATTTCCTATTTCCCACTTATGAAGTTGTGATTACAAGCTTGTCGTAGTCAAGTGCTTTATGTCGGAAAGAATAAAATGTAGCATCCCATTGGTTGACAATCATATAAAGATTCACCGCGCTACACGTGCAGCTTGCTGACAATTCTGGAATATCGGTCAAATACATGCTTATTTCACTGCTTATAAAACATACAATATGCTACGAATGATCGTTCATATCTGGCCTATAAATACACTACTTTAGCGACAAGACAAAGGGATGTAGTTGTTGTGAGAACAGCACTGACAGCAGCAATGGTTGTCCCCTCCACCATGTTTAAAGATTATGACCCGCCCAACTCGGAAACTCTGGTATCAAAATTATTTC